TATCATTACGTCATAGCAGAATTTTGAATTGATGTCTTTCTGACATCTTTAGGAGGATTGTTTTTCCTATTCTTTGAGGGATTTACATTTTTCGTACTTCAGCTGGAAATGGTACAAACACCATGTATGTTTATGAAAACCTTTAAATGCCATTATATGAGTGACATGTCCAATTGGAAGCATACTGATTTATTATTAACAAAATATGTAAGGGAATTTATTTTTAGCCTTTGTCAACTAAGCTTATCCTTCTGAACTCAACTTTTCTTTCTGGTGATTTTATTTCAGAAAATAGTAGCATTGCTTTTATTGTGGTTTGATGTTTCATAATCTCGCTCAAATATGGGACATTTTGTTTTAATTTAGCTAGAAATAATTCCTATTATATTAGCCTGATTGAATTCATAGACTTTCAGAGCTAGAGGAGACTGAGGCATCCATATAGATTACTCATCCTATAATTGAGGAATTTGTCCCTGACCAGTGACAAGAATGGAAGAAAACTGGATTTCTTGCAATGTTACTGATTTATTTAGAAAAGCAATGTGTTTTCTTATCTTAATTCTCAAGGTTTTTCATTCTTCTATGTGCCTCAGTGGACCAGAGTGGACCAGAAAAAAATTGTAAATTTTTCACAAACAGTGCAAGTTTGATAGAAAAGGGCTAATGCATTTAAGTCAATGGTGACAACAATATTCCAGCTGAAGGTTATGTGGAAGGAAAATCCTCAGAGTTTGTTCTCTGCCCCAAGTCTTTACTAGTCAGAACTATTTTTTAGGCTAATTCGTTATGACAAAACATCTGTATTTTTGCAAATACTCTTGACCCCTTGACTGACACCTACAAGATTACAAACTGACCGCTCTTTATCTTTACATTTTACTGGCTTTCCTTGACTTTGACATATCTCTGCCTAATCATTTAATGTATCAAAAATCTTCAGCATTTGCTCCTTTTGTTAGCAAGGCAAAGCTTTGGGATTGAAAAGTTGATACCTGGTTTCCCAGTTAAGAGTTCCCTGATTGCACAGTTATTTTACTGCTATGATATGAATGTGTTTACAAGAAGCTCACTTGTAGTCTGCAGTCGTATTCTACCCAGACTGCCCTTCAAACTCAATCTTATTTAAGGTTAGGTAAATTCCTTCACTAGGAATTTTTAAATTCTTTAATATAATTACAAATAATCCTCACACTCACCAAACTATTGTTGTTTACTGATTTTAATCTATGCTAAAAATTATGTTAAAAGTTTTTATTCCAATGAGATAATAGAGGAAACAACCAAAGAGGTTATGGTTTATTTGACCTGTAGGATATTAACTAGTCTGTATTCAATTTAGTAATACCTGTCTAGGTTGTGTTTTTGGTTTTTGGTTTATTTGCTTGGTGTTTGTTGACAAAAATATACAAACACAGACATACAAACACATAAACATACACATACAAACACATACATACATGTGTATATATGTCTACATATATATTGATATGTGTGTGTATGTGTGTCTCATAGCTTCCTTTGACCTGGCTTTGACATCTTCTGGATTCCTCAACAATGGATTAAATAAAACTTGGATACACATTCTTTGCATGTTCCAAATTATACCTTGACCTTAACTATAATATCTTCACTTGAGGATGACAAATATATGATGCGTATACCCTCGCTTTTCTATCCTGTACCCAAGGCAAACATCAAAATTCATCACAGGCATGGTTCGGAATCTTTCTCAACACAAGCACCCAGAAGACATTAACAATAAATGGAAATTGGAACTAAAGTTAAAATCCATTTGTCATTTCTGCCCTATTGGCCTATGTTGTTTTTGTCTTGCTTTTAAAAGTTGCTGATCAAACCAAAGCATGTTTATTCTTGCATTTCATTCTTGTTCTTCTTTCATGTTCAATAAACCATTGTATTAGATTGCACAGTTATTTTATTGCTGTGATATGCATGTGTTTACAAGCATACACTTGCCGGTTTTCTATACCCTGTGACTACCCCAGTATGCACACTCATCCAGCAGTTACATTACTTTCCTTTCCTGGCCCCTGAAGATACTTGCATTTATTGCCTGTCTTTTAAGGAATTGCTAGTTAGAGACTGAGTTGTATGAAGTTGTCTTTTGTATAGGTTAAAAACAGCAAATATTACAAATTTCATATCATCTGTCCTAATCAGAACACAAGAATCAAACAAAATGGTGCTGTCTTTGGTGATCTTCCAGTTTCAAAACAATTTATTTTCTATTTTGAATCCCAATAGTCATCCAAAAGAAGTGGTGATTTAGCACCCACTGTGCGTAAAGCATCTAGTAGACACCAGGGACGACAAAGATACATGCACATTCAGCTTTTAAAGGTGTTCATGCCTGGGTTTCAAGGGGTGAATGGCCTTATTTTCTGTTAGACAGTGAGCTCTTTGAGGGCAGAGGCTGTGATTTACTGTGCTTTATTTTTTCTGTGCATTTATCGTATGGTAGATGTTCAATAAACCTTTGTGAAATTAGTGAAAGGCAAAGAGATAGGGGAGAAGGAAAGGAAATAGAGAGAAAGGGAGGAATAGAGATTCTAGTGTGAAAAGCACCTGCCCAGGCCCAGCACAGTGGCTCACGCCTGTAATCTCAGGACTTTGGGAGGCTGTGGTGGGAGGATCGCTTGAGTACAGGAGTTCAAGACCAGCCTGGGGAACATAGGAAGACCCCTGTCAATACAAAGAAAAACAAAATTACCTGGGCATGGTGGCGCATGCCTGTGGTCTCAGCTACTCAAGAGGCTGAGGCAGGAGGATTGCCCGAGCCCGGGAGGAAGGTTTTTCCTTTATGAAGCAGCTCCTCTCATCCAAAGAGCCAAAACAAACTTTCCTTCTTATTTTTTATTCTTGGACAAGAGTAAAAGCAATTTAGCTATTGAGTTTCCAGAACTTGGGAAAAGCAGTCATCAGTCACCTTGAGAAACGTATTGAATGTGAAAAGATTTTTACTGTGGTAAATAATCAGTGCTAGTTTTGCCATTTCCAGATGACACACCTCTTAGCAATCAAGAATAAATAATGTTTAAATCAGTAAAAATTAGAATTGTTAAATGCCGTCGTTTTACTGATAGGTTTGGCAGTAAGGGTGAAGAGAAGGAAAACAGATACTTTTATATACCATTGGTGAAAGTCAATTGCTAGGACTTTAACAGAAAGGAAATTGGTTATGTGTATTAAAATCCTCAAAAATATGCAAAGTCTTTGAATCAGAAATTATATTTCTGGGAATTCATCCTGAAGAAATAATTAAGTATTTATACAAAGATGTAACCATCAGAGTAGTCAAGTCAATGTCATTTATACTAGTGAAAAAATTAGAAACAACTTTAATGACCAATGATAATAGAATATTATTTTGTATTATACTGCTATATTTTATGATATAAAAATGTAGATAGTTGCATATTTTATGCTATAGTTATTTACCTGCATAGAATTTCTTTTTACATTAAAAATGTTCATAATATATTGCTCAGTTAGTACAAATGTTACTAAATTATATTTATAATTATATGTATGTGTGTATATGCATGATTACAGCTTCATAAAAGAATTATACACACACGGGTGTTTTTCTGGAAGGATACACAGCAATATTTTAACAGTAGTTATCTCTGAAAGAAAAGTTAGGGATGTTCAAAACAAGTTTTATTTTTTCTCTCTGTTTATCTCATTTCCCAGTTTTTCTTTAATGAACGTATTCCAGTTTTATAGTAATAAAAAACTGTTTCAACAAGAAAAAAAAAAATGCTACCCTCCGACATTTGTTGGCAACATATTTACTACCCACAAATGCGCTGTTGTTTTGAAGCTTTGATTGTCAAGATTGAAGAAACAAATTGTAGTGATAAAGCAAAATAGTTAAGATGATCCTATGTATCTATGAAGATTATTATGATAAAGAATTGTCTCAATACGTGTATCAAAACATCCAGTTGTATACTTTTAATATATAGTTCTTTAAATTATACTTCAATAAAGTTGACAAAAGAATTTTGTCAATATTTAGTATTAGTCAACTCAGAAAGGTTACAACATAGAAAAATTTCTAAATAGAATCTGAGTAAACCAAATTAGCTGTGTCATATTTCTGCCATCTGAAGTAAAATCATTCTTAATATGAGATTTAAGGATCTTTTTTCATGAGCATTCAAATTTTTATTTTTAGGAAAGACTTGTTTGTGGGTATCTTTATTTTCTGTTTCAGAGAAAAAAATATTATTTGAAAACACTTTCACATTATGTTAAATAATAAAACCACTCGTAAATAATTTATTTTTTATTTTTTATTTTGAGAAAGAGTCTCACTCTGTCGCCCAGGCTAGAGTGCAGTGGCACGATCTTGGCTCATGCAACCTCCACCTGCTGAGTGCAAGCAGTTCTCCTGCCTCAGCCTCACAAGTAGCTGAGATTACAGGCGCCCACCATGCCCAGCTAATTTTTGTATTTTTAATAGAGACAGGATTTCAACATGTTGACCAGGCTAGTCTCAAACTCCTGACCTCAAGTGATCCACCCACCTCAGTCTCCCAAAGTGCTGGGCTTACAGGCTGCTTGTATATAATTTTGATTGTAAAGTAACATATATTAATAAGAAAAAAATTGAAAAATTACCCCAAATTCTATCACACAGAGATAAGCACTGATAACATTTTAGTGCTGATTCATAAAGGTAATACCCAGTCTTATATTGGGAAACAGGAGGCTGGTGTTTAGTTATTTAAATCCTCTGAAAAGTCGGTAGGGATCATGTAAGTACATTTTTTCTCTATTATCTGTGACATTTGGAAATAATTGTAGTGAAACAGCATAATCCTACACTCTTATTTATCCACACTAAAATGTAATTGTGGCTGCTGTCTTCTACCTTGGACACTACCAGATATTTCTGGAAAAAAAAAAGAGGCAACTTGACACCCGTAAAAAGAATGTATTCACATCCTTTCTAACTTCATTTCCTCCAGGACAAATATCAGTGGATGGGTTCATGCGCTATCTGAGTGGAGAAGAAAACGGAGTCGTTTCACCTGAGAAACTGGATTTGAATGAAGACATGTCTCAGCCCCTTTCTCACTATTTCATTAATTCCTCGCACAACACCTACCTCACAGGTATGAATTTTCTGGTTCTTTGTTACTCTAGCCAGTCTCACCAAATTTCACCAACCTCTACTTGCTGTTGTTCAGAAGCTGAAGTGTGTTTTCTTCCATTTCCTGTGAAGCGCCTCTGAGAACCCTGGGGTTCCACCACCAAAGCCTTCCGCCTCCCATGAGCAGTCATGTCCACATGTATAGGAAGCAATAGCATCATTTCTCCATAGCCTAAGTTTTCAAGTCTTCTAAAATGCAACCATGGCTGACATTTTCAGACCAATGGGATTTTTGTGTAACTGAACTCGTTCTTCAGTGTACTTGAAGCCATGTCCAGTCCTATCCAGTTCTCTGGGCTGTGTTCATCTACATGACAGCTCAGAAGGTCTTAAGTGGTGGCTCATGCCTATAATCTCAGCACTTTGGGATGCCGAGGCGGGTGGATCACCTGAGGTCAGGAGTTTGAGACCAGCCTGGTCAACATGGAGAAACTCCTGTCTCTACTGAAAATACAAAAAAAATCAGCCAGGTGTGGTGGCGCACGCCTGTAAACCTAGCTACTTGGGAGGCTGAGGCAGGAGAATCACTTGAACCCAAGAGGCGAAGGTTGCAGTGAGCTGAGATGGCGCCACTGCACCCCAGCCTGGGTGACAAGAATGAAACTCTGTCTCAAAAAAAAAAAAAAAAATTAAGTAATTGCTTTTTGTTCAAGGTAGGACAGGGCTTTAGACAAAAACAAATTGACCTGTGAATGACAACTTATACTTTATTGTAAATGTTATAATAAAGTAGGAAAAAACAACAATGTGTTTCCTAATCTGAGCTTAAATTAAGCATTGACCTATTTGGCAGTCTGGTGAAGTGTATGCACCCTTCTCAGAATGCTAAATGCATAAATTAAGTACCTAGAATTAAAGAGGAAATAAATTTCATTGAAATATTTTTATAAAATGTTGTGATATATATCCTTGTATATCTCAGTATTAACACAATTTGACTAAGTATAAGCAAAATGTTGTGATATTTGCAACAATTGGAATATAATACACAGATCTTGCTAGTGACTTGTAAGCTACATACTTAACTAAAGAGAACGTTAAATTTTGTGTGGAGGTTAAAATTAAAACTGTAACCATTTTTTCTCATCCAAGTTCAAGGAGGTTCATGGAATATCACTTTAAGAGTCTAGATCTTTGACATGATAAAATTCAAAGAAGTATAATTTTTAAAATCTGAGCACATTATAGAATCTTACATTTATCCTATATTTAGGACCACAAAACTCAAAAATACTTAAGTATGTGTCCGGTTGAATTTTGGGTATTGTGTGTGATTTTATTTAACTGAAAGTCACAATATAGAGTAGATTTTTTACTAATAATCTTTTGAGTCCAAAATACCTTCCAACTGATATATTTATGTTCATTACATTCTATTTTATTTGTCATATAATAAATGAGTCAGTAGTACCAAAATGAATGACAAGACTGACTGGATATACATTCTATTTTTTCACCTTCTTTCAGAATATATTAATTTTTCCCTTTCTGCATATCACTAGGGTTTTCAGATTTTATGTATGTTCATTGAATCACAGCTACCATTTGCCTTTTGAGAGACCAAATTGTCTCAACTTTGGTTAGTGGGAGACATTTTTAGGCTATCATTTGTGTCCTCTTGACATGACCTATTAATCTTTGGAAGTGTTCTGGCACATAAAGATCTTCTGCACTCACTTTATTCTTTTCTGCTCCAGAGATGGAAACAGACTATTCCCCAATGAGCCCTGGTTCTTTTTGATTTACTAATAAGAAAAAAATTGAAAAATTACCCCAAATTCTATCACACAGAGATAAGCACTGATAACATTTTAGGAAAGGGAGGAATAGAGATTCTAGTGTGAAAAGCACCTGCCCAGGCCCAGCACAGTGGCTCACGCCTGTAATCTCAGGACTTTGGGAGGCTGTGGTGGGAGGATCGCTTGAGTACAGGAGTTCAAGACCAGCCTGGGGAACATAGGAAGACCCCTGTCAATACAAAGAAAAACAAAATTACCTGGGCATGGTGGCGCATGCCTGTGGTCTCAGCTACTCAAGAGGCTGAGGCAGGAGGATTGCCCGAGCCCGGGAGGAAGGTTTTTCCTTTATGAAGCAGCTCCTCTCATCCAAAGAGCCAAAACAAACTTTCCTTCTTATTTTTTATTCTTGGACAAGAGTAAAAGCAATTTAGCTATTGAGTTTCCAGAACTTGGGAAAAGCAGTCATCAGTCACCTTGAGAAACGTATTGAATGTGAAAAGATTTTTACTGTGGTAAATAATCAGTGCTAGTTTTGCCATTTCCAGATGACACACCTCTTAGCAATCAAGAATAAATAATGTTTAAATCAGTAAAAATTAGAATTGTTAAATGCCGTCGTTTTACTGATAGGTTTGGCAGTAAGGGTGAAGAGAAGGAAAACAGATACTTTTATATACCATTGGTGAAAGTCAATTGCTAGGACTTTAACAGAAAGGAAATTGGTTATGTGTATTAAAATCCTCAAAAATATGCAAAGTCTTTGAATCAGAAATTATATTTCTGGGAATTCATCCTGAAGAAATAATTAAGTATTTATACAAAGATGTAACCATCAGAGTAGTCAAGTCAATGTCATTTATACTAGTGAAAAAATTAGAAACAACTTTAATGACCAATGATAATAGAATATTATTTTGTATTATACTGCTATATTTTATGATATAAAAATGTAGATAGTTGCATATTTTATGCTATAGTTATTTACCTGCATAGAATTTCTTTTTACATTAAAAATGTTCATAATATATTGCTCAGTTAGTACAAATGTTACTAAATTATATTTATAATTATATGTATGTGTGTATATGCATGATTACAGCTTCATAAAAGAATTATACACACACGGGTGTTTTTCTGGAAGGATACACAGCAATATTTTAACAGTAGTTATCTCTGAAAGAAAAGTTAGGGATGTTCAAAACAAGTTTTATTTTTTCTCTCTGTTTATCTCATTTCCCAGTTTTTCTTTAATGAACGTATTCCAGTTTTATAGTAATAAAAAACTGTTTCAACAAGAAAAAAAAAAATGCTACCCTCCGACATTTGTTGGCAACATATTTACTACCCACAAATGCGCTGTTGTTTTGAAGCTTTGATTGTCAAGATTGAAGAAACAAATTGTAGTGATAAAGCAAAATAGTTAAGATGATCCTATGTATCTATGAAGATTATTATGATAAAGAATTGTCTCAATACGTGTATCAAAACATCCAGTTGTATACTTTTAATATATAGTTCTTTAAATTATACTTCAATAAAGTTGACAAAAGAATTTTGTCAATATTTAGTATTAGTCAACTCAGAAAGGTTACAACATAGAAAAATTTCTAAATAGAATCTGAGTAAACCAAATTAGCTGTGTCATATTTCTGCCATCTGAAGTAAAATCATTCTTAATATGAGATTTAAGGATCTTTTTTCATGAGCATTCAAATTTTTATTTTTAGGAAAGACTTGTTTGTGGGTATCTTTATTTTCTGTTTCAGAGAAAAAAATATTATTTGAAAACACTTTCACATTATGTTAAATAATAAAACCACTCGTAAATAATTTATTTTTTATTTTTTATTTTGAGAAAGAGTCTCACTCTGTCGCCCAGGCTAGAGTGCAGTGGCACGATCTTGGCTCATGCAACCTCCACCTGCTGAGTGCAAGCAGTTCTCCTGCCTCAGCCTCACAAGTAGCTGAGATTACAGGCGCCCACCATGCCCAGCTAATTTTTGTATTTTTAATAGAGACAGGATTTCAACATGTTGACCAGGCTAGTCTCAAACTCCTGACCTCAAGTGATCCACCCACCTCAGTCTCCCAAAGTGCTGGGCTTACAGGCTGCTTGTATATAATTTTGATTGTAAAGTAACATATATTAATAAGAAAAAAATTGAAAAATTACCCCAAATTCTATCACACAGAGATAAGCACTGATAACATTTTAGTGCTGATTCATAAAGGTAATACCCAGTCTTATATTGGGAAACAGGAGGCTGGTGTTTAGTTATTTAAATCCTCTGAAAAGTCGGTAGGGATCATGTAAGTACATTTTTTCTCTATTATCTGTGACATTTGGAAATAATTGTAGTGAAACAGCATAATCCTACACTCTTATTTATCCACACTAAAATGTAATTGTGGCTGCTGTCTTCTACCTTGGACACTACCAGATATTTCTGGAAAAAAAAAAGAGGCAACTTGACACCCGTAAAAAGAATGTATTCACATCCTTTCTAACTTCATTTCCTCCAGGACAAATATCAGTGGATGGGTTCATGCGCTATCTGAGTGGAGAAGAAAACGGAGTCGTTTCACCTGAGAAACTGGATTTGAATGAAGACATGTCTCAGCCCCTTTCTCACTATTTCATTAATTCCTCGCACAACACCTACCTCACAGGTATGAATTTTCTGGTTCTTTGTTACTCTAGCCAGTCTCACCAAATTTCACCAACCTCTACTTGCTGTTGTTCAGAAGCTGAAGTGTGTTTTCTTCCATTTCCTGTGAAGCGCCTCTGAGAACCCTGGGGTTCCACCACCAAAGCCTTCCGCCTCCCATGAGCAGTCATGTCCACATGTATAGGAAGCAATAGCATCATTTCTCCATAGCCTAAGTTTTCAAGTCTTCTAAAATGCAACCATGGCTGACATTTTCAGACCAATGGGATTTTTGTGTAACTGAACTCGTTCTTCAGTGTACTTGAAGCCATGTCCAGTCCTATCCAGTTCTCTGGGCTGTGTTCATCTACATGACAGCTCAGAAGGTCTTAAGTGGTGGCTCATGCCTATAATCTCAGCACTTTGGGATGCCGAGGCGGGTGGATCACCTGAGGTCAGGAGTTTGAGACCAGCCTGGTCAACATGGAGAAACTCCTGTCTCTACTGAAAATACAAAAAAAATCAGCCAGGTGTGGTGGCGCACGCCTGTAAACCTAGCTACTTGGGAGGCTGAG